GTGGAGGTGGGAGCAGCCCAGCAAGAGCATCGCAGGTGTGTGCTGATTCTACTCCACAGTTGTTTTCATGAACACATTCTTCTCCGTTTGTTGTATGCCTTCATTCAGTTCCCAGATAGATCCAAAGGCTGTTTGGACAGTTCTGACCTACAATTACAGTTGTCTTTTGAGAACACAGCTTACTGACCACTTCACGGCTCCTGCCGAAGGTTTCTCTCTGTGTTAGGCTTCACCAAGCCCGGGAGGTGTGGAAGGCACTGAACCTGCCACTTGCTGCCCTTCACCCTATGCTGATCTCGGTCTCCTTGGCAGAAAAACAACAGGAGTTTGGAAATTTTCTGCATTTCCTTCCATTTTCAAAACGTTAAGTTTATGGTAGAATTCAGAATTCACCTAATAACTCTACAGAGTAAATTTCAAAAAATTAATTGATTTCACCTTTGCCACGATCTTAGTGTCATTTCTACCTAAGATCCTGCTCCAAGGAGGTTGTGTGTGTGTGTGTGTGTGTGTGTTCATCTAAGAAGAGGCAGTGGTGCTTTTGCCTTCAGGAGAAAGAAGATTTTGCTCACCTTTTCTTTCTTTTCTTGTCTTCCCTTTGCTTTGCTTTTCCTTCTTCCCCATTTCTTCATTTCCTCTCTCCTGTGTTGAGAGCCCTGACGGTGTGCTGGGTGCTGGACTAGGTGCTTCCTACCTGAATCATCTCACACCCTTATCAGGTAGGTCCTGCTGTGGACCATACGTTACAGGCAGAGAACCCGAGGAACCTCGTGCCTGCTGGCAGCCAACACTGAGCCTCCACCTCTGAACTCCCTTCCGGTCTAGCACAGCAGCCCCGTAAGTCTAAGTCGGCTGTAACACAGCAGCCTGTGGTGGGGACGTGCTGGGAGAAGGGGAGCTGAGGCTGGGAGAGGTCAGAGGAGTCCACCTGGCACAGGCTCTGGCTCTAGGCTCTGAATAGAGGCAGGTGCTGGAACCACTGAGCTAAATGCCCAGCCCCTAGGCTCTGAACAGAGATGGCAGCACGGCACTGCTGCTGGGAAACAAATGCTGGTCTCTTCATAGTCTGTTTGGGCGTGAGAAGCAAGCTGGGTGAGATTATTCAGGGCTTTCATGGCCAGCCTGAAGATTCTGGATTTTATTCAGCAAACACAGCAGTACTCAGAGGAGCTTCTGTGCTGGGAAAGGTCATCCCTAGGGTTGGCCTTTGCCTGTGTGGTCGTCTGGGAGCCACACATACGATGGACTGCATGGAGGACAGGCTGAAAGTAAAAGGCCAAGGTGCAGTGCAAAGAGAGGCAGCGAGAACCTGAGCTGTAGGCTAGGAAAGGAGCGTGTGGAGGCGAAAGGCACTGCAGAGAAACCCCACGGTTCAGGAAGGCCAGTATGCACAACCTCTCCAATCAGAACCAAAACTCATTATTCTGAGTTTTTATTTCTATCCCTTCACCTATTTTAAATCCCCTGGATTGTTTGTCCTAGTAATGATATTAAGCAGGTGTTGCTTTGATTACGTAGATTTTCTAAATAGGTCATTTAACCTGTATTTTAATCTTCTTAAATTCCAAATTGCTAGCCAGTATAATTTTTGATGTCTAAAATCTATTCTTGGTGGAGTGCATCGACTTAAAAACTTCAGGTTTTTTTTAACCAAAACAAAAGATGCTCCTAAAAGTGCTCTTGCTCCCTGAGAAACATGATGGGGCAGGAGGAAGGGCAGTATTTCAGAGCATCCCACAGTGCAACTGCCAGCTTTCCTTTCCTTATGGCTCTTAGGACTTAGCTGGCTCTGCCATACTCAACTGGAAAACATTCTTTGGTGTGCGGCATCCTGTTTTACCTGTGCTTTAAAAATGTCCTTATTTATTTAATAGCCAGAGTGGTGTAGCTGGATCTTGGGTCTATGTGTGTATGCAGGCACGAGAAAGAAAAAATTGGGGAAAAAGATAAGCAACTTATTTTCTCCAATATTTTGTTATCAGTAAACTAGGAGATATAAATCATCCCATCACCCCCAGGGGGAACTAACTGACCCTATTTTCCTGTACTTTTGGGTAATATATTACTCCTCGTAGCTTTTTACTTTTTCTTAGCAGATGTAACGCTATGGTGTCTTTAGTGAACATCTTTGACTATATGGTGTCTTTTATTTTCCTGCTCCATGAACGAGATTCAGAAATTTGGGATCACAGAAACAGTTCCCCACACAAAGCGGCCTCAGGTGCTCTATCGCTGTGGGGTTCAGGGATGGAATGAACTCTGCATTCAGGCCTGGGCGGCCCCTCACCCAGCAGAAGTTGGTCTTGCTGTTCCAGTGTCCCTGGGCCACAGTCCCTGACTTGCAGTGCCTGCAATGGGCTCTCTGGTGTCCAGGTCCTTTTGTGCTCTGTAGCTCTGGGACTCCATCGGAAAGATGAAGTCCTGCCGCTGCCGCTGGAGAGGAGAAAGCCCATGTCTTCCCTGTTCCGACTCTGAAGGGCTCCAGGTCTCCTCAGCCAGTAAAAGAAGCATGTGCCTTTCACAGACTCCTCATGGAGGCCCTTCCTCTAGCCCCAGTTTCTACGTGAGCAGTGGCCGGGATGGCTCCTGCCGTTTCCTCCCCAGCCTGCCCAGCATATTCATGGTGGGGGAAGATGGGAGGCGTGACTTCCTCCTGGAGTTCTGCAGCTCTGACAGAGCTGGCCCTCCAGTCCTCAGCCCAGCGGCTGTTAGCTGTGGCCTCCGATGGTGAGGCTCTGGGAGGTGGGGCAGATGCCGCCCTTCTGCAGGGAGCTGGGAAAGTCGATATTGAAAGATCTGGTGTGTTCTGTTTGGCCTCCACCTGTTGAAAACCAACTGTACCCACTCTTAACAGGGAGGAAGAGGGCGCCTGGTTCTGTGCTGTGGCAGCACATAGTTCCGCTGCCCCTAGGAGATGGCTGAAGTTGAGAGCAGCAAATGAGCGAGAAAAGCAAAGACAGGCACCAGGACGAAGAGTGCCCAGGAGCTGAGCGGTGGGTCGGGGGAGCCCAGCTCCCCTGTCTGCCCTGGGTCACCCTGCTGAGGTCTGGACCCAGTGTGGTCCCGGTGCTGGACACTTAGTCCTGTGTGGAGGTGTGGAGAGCCGGGGCGCCTGGGAGACCAGATGCCCGCTGCCCCCTCAGGGGTGACTGCAGCTCTCAAAGGACCAGGTTAGTGTCCCCGGAAAGAGGAAGTCTGGCCCCCAATCACTCTGCTTCGCCTCACCGTGATCTCCCCTCTCCCACATGCCTGCCCCACTTGATGCCTCTGTGTCATGATGTAGCCAGAAGTCCCCGCGGAGTGGGCTGTGCCACTGTGGACAAAACAAAGCTCTCTGTATAAAGGACTGGCCTCACACACTCTGTTACAGTAACACACCACAGACAGAGCCCCGCCCTAAGCCCCAGAGGCAAAAACTAAGAGCGCGGAGTCTAAAGGTCAGTGGCACCTGGTGGCCCAGACCTCCTACTATCCGGGTCCCAGTCACAGAGGAGAAAGGGACTGTCCCTGTCCGGTGACAGGGTCTGAGGCAGAGCCACTGGCACGGATGGACTAGAGAGGCCGAGAGGGCGGTGATCCTGTCCTGAGAGCATGGACAGGAAGATGGACGTTATGACCGGAAGCAGAAAGGCACCAGTGTGGCAGGAAACCAGCCCTAAGCAGCAGTGCCTCGGCAGACTCAGTCCTCCACCCGCAGGACCTGGCAGTCAGTAGTAACCGCGCTATGGGCAGTGCAAACACACTTGGCACCTTACATGTGGCAGCGACTGTGCACACCAGCTAGTGTGTGCCCATTAGTCACACACTTGTTTAGAGTCTCAGAACACACCCACGACGCAGGGACTGTTAACAAGGAAGCTTAGCAACTCACAAGGCCACACCTGACAGGCTGGAGCACCAACAAAGCCTTGCCTGTCTACGGGCTTCAGACTCTGTGTACCTGATCAGTAATTTTAGCACATATGAGACTGTGGCCCGCAAATGACCAGACGACTTAGGGACTTGGTGAGGCCTTGTCTTAAAGTGAGAAATGTAAAGGGTTGGGATAGCTCAGTGCAAAGGTCTTGGGTTCAATTCTGAGCATGGAAAAAAGAAGCAAAGAAAGAAATGGAAGGTTCATCAAACCCTGCAGGGTGCCAGTATCGCTCTCCTTCAAGCAGAGTACCGTAGCCGGGGCCCTTAGCTCTGACGCCCTGACTCGGTCTCTGACCTCCGGTTTCGCCTCCGCGAACGGAGGTGGACGGGTTTGCGGCCCGACATCTCCATGTCCCTCCACGTGTCTCATTCGCCGTCATGAAAGGTCCTCTTTCTTTACACAGGCCAGAGGCGCGCACCCCGCACAACCTGTTCTGCTACCTGAAGGCTGCGGCTCAGACGAGTGTCTGAGCAGCCGTGGACCGAGCGGAACACACCTTGGGGCTGACCCAGACGAGCGCGGGGACGAGCCGCGCCGGAGCGAGGGCGCAGGGGGAGAGGCCAGGCCGGGCCGGGCCGGGCCGCAGTCCGAGAGGGGACAGGGCTCCCAGCCCCGCAGCTGCTCTGAGGCAAGTGTGCCGGCGCCTGGAACCGGAGAGCGGCGCTGAGCGCGCGCGCGGCCGGAGTGGAGGCCCAGGGCGTGTCTGCGCGGACGGGGAAGGCAGGCAGGGTCTGCCTGGGGCGGGGTCCCCGCTTGGGGGCGGGTGGGCTCCCCTGGGGACCAGCTGTGGGTCTCTTAGCCCGTAGGCCTTTGGAGATCTATTTAGTGCTTCAGTAATAGGCATGGACGGTTTTAATTATGCAAGCATCGTGTCCGAAGAGGCACATTCAGAAGGGGCAGGAAAACGCCAAAAACAAACCCCCTTTCGTTTCCCTCGAGCCAAGCCGACAGGCTGGGCTGGGGTCTTGGGGTGAGCACCTCCCCAGCCTCCAGCGGGCTCAAGGTAGCGACAGAGGCCGCGTCCTGCCTGCCGGCTCTCAGCTGTCAGCCGGAAGCCGCCCGGGCCCCGCCCTGCACCCGGCACGCGCGGGTCCCGCCGGCGGCGCTGCTCTCCTGCTGCGGGGCCCGGCCGAGCCGGGCCGAGCCAAGCCAAGCGCAGGTGCGTGGATGGTGCTGAGGTGAGGCGCGCGTGCGCGCGTGTCCCGCGTGTGTGTCCAGCACGTGTGTGTGCGGGACGGCCGGGCGAGGCTGCGCCTCTGGGTCGGGACAGCGGCTCCAGACGTCCCTGCCGCGCCTTTGTCCTTTGCACTCGCCCCGGTGCGCTGCACAACGTGGACTTCCTTAGGAAGGGACCTCGGGGCCCTGTAGCCACACCAGCCTCTTGGGTCCCAGAGGAGGAAACTGAGGCAGAGTGGGGAAGTGCCTTGCCCAAGGCTGACAGGGAGGTGCTGCTGGGGGCTCGTGCCCGAGGGCGGGCGCTGTTGCCAAAGGCACGAGATCTGGCAGCCCAGGCCAGGGAACCGCACTCCACCCCTTGGGGCAAAGGAAGAGGTCGGGGAGAGGGCCTGGGCCTTTGCTTCCTCCCTGGCCCTGCCTGTAATGTGGTCGGGCTGTGTGACTCCGCTGGCTTGGCCGTGCGCGCGTGTGCATGTGTGGGATTCAGGCGCAGTCTATCCTTACACATGGGGAAGTCTTCTGGATCCGCGCGCAGTGTGTGTGTTGGGATTCTGCTCTGTCTGTGGGGGACAGATTCCCAGAATCCGAGTACTGCGCGGGGGGGGGGGGGTTCCTGGGACTCCGGAGGCTGAGCATTCAAGAGGGAGAAGCTATGTGGTGATGAGTTTCTCGTCCCTGGGAGAAATCAACATTTAAAATCAAGGCTGTGCTCTGAAGCTCGATCAGCTTTCTCCGTGTAGAATCAGCATGTTGGTTGGGGGCTCTAGGTTTTGTGTCCCTCTTCAGTTGAATTAACCGATGTCTTCATGGGCTGGCATTTGCCCCAAAACTGCTCTGTGCAGTTTTCGAATAGTGCGTGAAAGGCTGTGTCTGACTCTGTGGGGTCCAGAGGGAGTCTGGGGAAGGGGTGCACCTCCCAGAAGGAGTGGCCTGGCGCTGAGCTGGCCCTGAAGGCAGGCTGCGGGAAGGAGCGCAGGGGTGACCCAGTGAGGCCTGGGCGTGCTGCTGGGATGGGGGCGGTGGGGGGTGGCGGGAGGCCTGGAACCTTAGGCTGGGGAGCTTGACCTTTGCCATTGGAGGCGTTCCCACGGTGGCTGGGAAGGGAGAGGATGTCACTGCCACCAGCTCGGAGCGCTCCGCACAGCAGCAGTCTCCACACAGGGCAGCCTGCGGCAGGGCACTGAGGGGGGAGAGCCACGTGGGGCCGGGCAGGGCAGGCGTGAATGGAGAGCAAGGGCACCCAGGCAACACTGTTGCAGAGCTAGGGGGGACACCTGCCCCAGGCGTGCAGGGGTGCTGGTCTCTTTGGGCCCCAACAGCCTTATGGGGAGGTTGTCATTGTTCCCACTCCCAGGACGAGGACAGGGACTGAGTCAGGAAGGTTAGGCAGTTTGTCAAGGTCACATGGCAGATAGGTGGAGGGGCGGAGAGCTGGCCCCCAAGAAGTGTGGGATGGCTCAGTGGTAACTGAACAAACAGGAGGCGATCAGTGCCTGTGGAGCTCGGTGTCCCGGTGCGCAGGTGATGGTGACACCTGGCGCAGGTGGGGGCCAGGTGTGTGAGCGACTGGAGACATGTCCACGTGGGCAGGGGCCACAGGACTGGCCATCCTGCCTTGGCCTCTAGAGGCATTCTGGGGCCTCTTCCGGCCTGAGGCTCTGGTGGATTCCTCCAGAGAGGGCATCACTTCATCCGTGTGCCTTGGCTCCCAGCCCAGCCTGCTCAGAATGCCAGCGGGGCACTCCCTTCCCAGCAGCGCCTGACTGCTCACACATCCTGGATGGGCTGGACAGGAGGGGAGGCATCTATGAGGCAGCAGGCTCAGTGTGAGTGTGTGCTGACTGTGTGTGTGTGTGTGTGTGTGTGTGTGTGTGTGTGTGTAACTGGTGATCAAATCCAGAGCCTCGCACTGAGCTGCATCCCTGTCCTTTTCATCTTTTATTTTGGGACAAGGTCTCACTATTTGCCGAGGCTGGGCTTGCACTTGTGGTACTCCTGCCTCAGCCTCCCAGAGTGCCACCCACCGAACAGGAGAGGGCCACCACATCCAGCTAGTTTCCACCTTCTTCATGCCTCCCAGAGGGGATTCAATTTTGACACATGAATCCCTACAGTGCACACTTGGGCCACACCAGACCATGGGGGGAAAGGTGCCCTACCCAAGGGAGGGCCACACAAGGACACAGAGGCTTCATGCCCAGCACCTGCACCCAGCACTTAGTCTCCTGGGTCACAGGACTTGGCTCCTGGGGAGAGGAGAATGGACAAGCACACAGGGGCTGCCCCTCCAGGACCCTGCCTGTGCCCCATGGCCAGGCCGCCACCTTGTCTCCCTCCATGATTCACAGCAGCACCAGGAGCTTGGCCACAGCAGCTCAACTACCAGTGCACACAGAGGAAAATCTATTACTGGACGATCGTTTATTGTCACTTTATTTCCTTCAGAGATTGCTTGGCGCCGAGCTCCAGGAACTGCCTCCGCCCAGCGTTCCCCTGGCCCGTGGCTGGAGCTTTGCCATGGGGTCTGCCGCTGGGAGGGAGGGGGGCCCAGGGCGGGCGGTGGGGAGGGCGAGCCCTTTCCGAGGCCCCAGCCAAGCAGCACGGTGCCGGGAGCCCCCACCCAGGGGTTCCGGAAATGGGGTGCTGGGCGAGTGAGTGCCCACGGTCCTCCCCCCCCCCCACACCGTGGGTCAGCTCTGCTGCTGTCCTTGTCCCCAGTTTGCACCTGGGGAAGCCCAGCAAGGGGCTGAGCTTGAACCCAGGTGACCGGGCCGCGCCTTCCTCTGAATGCTGGACTCAGGCCATTCTATTCTAACCACTGATTCCTCTGCAGGCGGGCTATCTGTGGGACCATCTCTATGAACCCCTCCACTGCAGGGGATGAGAAAGCGCCGAGGTCAGGGCACGTGGCCCCACTCTGTGGCTTCAACTGTCCCAAGCCCCAAGCGTTGGCCGCAGGGCTCCGTTGTCTACTGTAGTCCTTGCCTTGCCTTCCCTCTCCACGCGTCCTGGCCTGAAATTCCCCAGAAGGAAGCCGTCCATGCTGAGCCGCTACTGACCAGTGAAGGGTCTGCAGGGGCTGTGGCCTGAGAGCAGCAGTGGGTCTGCTGCAGGCACACAGCTGTCTGTGCCAAGGCTGAGGCCTTTCGGGCCACACATGAAAATGTACTTGCTCACTGATCTAGCCCTGGAAGTCTGAGATCACGGCCTGATGGGTTCTGGTGAGGGCTTTGAGACAGCCACTCTCCTGCCGTGTCCTCTCATGGTGGGGAGAGAGAGGGATGAGAGCCTCTCCTGTACTGCGCTGTCCTTGTCAAAGGCACTTAGGCAGCGTGAGCTCCACACCCAGCTGACTTGTCCCAGTCAATCCCCTGCAGGCCTCACTCCGAAACTCATCGCGCTGGGGCCAGGGCTTCCACACCTGAATTGTGGGGGACACCATCCAGCCCATGGCAGGAGAGGTTCACACAGCTTCACAGGGAAAGCGGGTTGGCTGGACGAGGAGCCAGCAGCCCCCAGACCAAAGCAGGGGGGTGTGGAGCATTCAGAGCAGAGACCGGTGGGCAGGGCAGGTGGCGGGTGCAGAGAGGACCCTGGCTCCTGGAGGGTCCCCAGGAGGGGCTGTGTTGCCAGGTGTCTCTGGCGGGCTGCCAGCAGAGCTGCCCACCAGGGAACCTCACAAGGACTCTGAAGGCCTTGGCTGGAAGTCAGGCAGGGAGCTGGGAAGTGCTGCTGGACCCTGGGGTTGGGGCAGCTTCTGCTCTGGAGGGCATGGCCCAGGCTGGGTGGCATTTGCAGTGGGGACAACCCTTGGTGCTCTCAGCAGTGCCATGCCAGGTTGGCGTGCTCTCCTGGGGGGGGATGAAGGGCCCAGGCCAGGGAGACCACTCCTGTCTTCAGCCGGGGCCTGCTTTTCTGTGGGAAGGAGGTGGTGGCTCAAAGCCAGCTTCCCCCAGCCCAGGCAGGACTGAAGTCCCAGAGGCCTGCTTCCCAAGGGAGGTGTCCTGACCGAGGAGGCAGCACCCCCAGCCCTGGGTGAGACCGGTGAGGGTAGACGAGGAGGACTCTTAGGAATTTCATGTCTGCGCGTGGAGTCATGCATCATAGCCAGGAATTACTAGGGGGACGCCATCGGAAGGACAGGCCGTGGCTTGGTGTTGGGGTGCCAGCACTCTCCCCGTGCCTGGCCCGTGGCAGCCCTTGGTCTTCGTAGGAGCTGGGTCTGCAGCTGGTTCTGAGGCCTTCGCTGTGGGGCCAGATGCTGCCCCGAGGCCTGCAGAGCGAGGCCGCCTTGCTGTCCTTTACACTCTTTGCTTTAATATTCTCAGTGGGCTGAAGGGCGGGATTTGGGATTTTGTTTTACATTTTTTTTGTATCTTGATTTTTTTATTGCAATAAAATATACTTAACATAAAATTTACCATTTTAACCACTTTCAGTGGACAGGTTTGGTAGTATTAAGTATGTTTACACTGTGAATTTTTTTCATCTTCCAAACTGACAGGGTTGGGTTTACTGCTGGCTTCAGGAAGTCCCTCGAGGGATGCACTGCCTCAGTTTCCCTCTCTTCCTCACTGCTGCATGTCTCTGTGCTTGCTCAGGCTTTCTGCTGCCATGTCTTGTTACTTTCTGTTTTTCTGATTTTCTAAGTACATTCTTTGCTTCCATCAAACAAGCTCCTGTAAGATTCCGGCAGAGCAAAGCACTCTGAGGTACCTGGTGTTTCCCCAGCTGTCTTCCCTCACAGTTTTTGTCACACACCCTTTCCAGGGAGGAGACAGTGCTGCAGGCTAGTGTCACACTCAGAGCGAGTCATTTCCAAGCCAGGACTCCACTCGGTGCTCTGGCCTCTGGTCCTCTGGCTGGACAGGGGCTGGAGGTGTACATGGAGTGCAGCTGCCCGGCCAGCATCTTAGCGTTTGGTCCACACCACTCTCGAAGCTGCGGAGAGGGGTGCTCATATGAACCGGGTTCCCTGGGATT